GTTAGGTACTGACTCTTGAGACTTTGTAAGAGGCAACGCCCGGCTGGATGCGGCATTTTTCGATTAATTGCAAAACACTTAGTAGTTCAGCTACGGTTAAGAAGACAGACCTCTGCAATTTGTGCTTATATCAATGATTTAATTGAACATGACTGGAATAAATTCTGTTAGTACTTAAAGATGTTTCCTCCTTTTTCTTCAGTATCTGAGAAACATTCCTCCTTGTATTTGAAACCAGTGATGATCGAACAGAAGCAAAGAAGAGCTGCTCTACTATGAGGCTGATCGGCTTTTCCATTCACATCAAACAAAGACCTATCACATGCTGCTTTGGGACTTTGGCTTATTTTTAAAAACTTGATTTAATCAAATATGTACAGTATATTTACAGATATAGTTTTGGAAGTGTCTCCTTCCAAGGAACATAACTGCACAAAGAAAAAGAAAAAACACACCATAGAATCTCCAACAAAGAGCACTGCTGGAACCTATATCACTGATTTTAACTATCTTACTCACTTATCTATGAGGCCGACTATTCAATCAGTGTCAATAATGTTCTACACAATCCAACATGACTCGACCGTGATCACTTTTTGCAATTTAAGAAAGCAGATTAATCTATTCTTTAATCTGGGTTGAGAACACAATAAACATAAACCAGTCAGCCAGATATTTCCTGTCTGACTCTTTTCTGTGTGTCTTCTTCCTTCCTCTAACATGTTTCAGCACTTCAGAGAGTGAGCTCAACTATTTATGCTGTGTTTTTACTTTTCCTGTCATACTGGTATAGTTCTGCCTTATTTTACATCTTGCCAGAAGCCAATAGATGCCTTATCCTCGATACAAAGTTTTGGACCAATGAAATGCAGTGACATGTATAACATCAACGTTTGAACTAGAGGCGGAAAGCTGAAGCAAAACAAACATTGTTATGCCTGTTTGAGATGAAATACCCACTTTTTCTTTTTGAAAAATGAGCAAAATAACGTGATTTTCACCTTTTATGCCTGCATGTTCCTCTAGACCACATAATGATAAGAGTTTGATTCATCAGTTAAGTCTGTAAAGAGTGTGAATGTGATCCATTTCAGCTGCTACTGCTGCTGTGATTGGCTAAGAATTTGACATGGTAGGCAGGTACCCAATCAGCTCCAAGAATTGCTCTTAATGTACCTTCCTTTTATAAACTCTTTCTACAAGAGGATTTCCTTATGCCAGGTTTCCAAAAACTAACTGGACTGAAATAAAGATTATTAAACATCAGAAATGCTGGTAAAACATAATTTAAAAGTTTACCATATACTAACATCAGAAAGAAACTACTTATCTTTACATATAGTGTAGCTGTAGCACTGTGCGGTTAGAGGTATAGAGGAGGATGTTCTTTTTCTGGGTGGATCATCAAAATAAGTGGTTCTCATATATGTCAATCTTTGGTGATATGTTTGCGTAAGGCCGCTCTACGTGTTCATCCCCATTTTCACTTATAGCTGGTGAGTCTGACATAGTGGAAAAATTGCAAATCTTCTTATGGAAAGTAAACTTTTATGAGCGATGCAAACAGCATGAGTGAGCACAAGGAAAAATGGGCTCGTGCTCTCGCATGCATTTAATAGTGGTTCCCTCTCGGAAGTGGGTTCAATGTTGTACTTTTTTTCTTTGTTTTCTTTGTTTCTTTGCCTTTTTTCTTTGTTTTCCTTTCAAAAGTTAGTTTTAAAACTTAATGTATAAGAAAGAGACTGAGATCAGTGAAAATATTTTGTGGTATGAACTCTACACTGTTTTATAAGATACGGTTGAACGCAAAGGTTGATTATTTTTCATATGTACTTTACGTTTAAGTTGTAACACAACATCAAAGGCTTTTCACAACATGACAGGAATTTAA